AATTTGACTATTTTTAATTTTAATTTTAACTTTAATATTTATATTTTTATTTTTAAAATTTAAATATTTATTTTTTAGCCTTTTTTCTATATAATAATTATATAATTAATAGCTAGTTACAAGAGAGTTAATAGGCAAAAAATATAAAAAATATATTTAATTAAATTTTTACTATATATTAATTATATTGTGAATATATTTAAAAAAATTGAAATTTTCTGCAAAGAAAGTATTTTAAAATATATAAATAAGTTATCTAGCCAATTAATTTACATCAGCCAGTCATATAAATATCTTTTTATAAAGTCAGCATAAGTTTTAGAGTTATTTTTTTGATGCAGTTATGGTTTATAGGTTATATATTTATCATGAATGTTATTTATATATTATGTAGATTATATATTAAATTTGCTCTACTTTAACTGACCCTCTAAAAAAAGAACAATTGATTTTTTATATATATATTGTACCTTGGATGAAAATCTGCCTGATTCAGAATTTGGCTGTTCTGATTCAGAATCAGGATGGCCAGATTTAGAATTCCTATTGATACAGGGTACAAGGTTGAGAACAGCACTATAGGGACAAAAAAGAATGCGACGAATTGTCGCTTCGAATTCATCGACATCGCGTAATGTCACTCAAGGCAGGTGAGGTGGATTCGATTTGGCACTGGTCTATGGCGGCCTTGAGAACATTACCAGGGGAGTTTAAAGGAGCGTAAGGTTTTTTATTTATTTATTTTGACAGTTTAGTTAGTTTATTAATAAAAACTTTATTAATTATTTTAGGGCGGGTTACAAGTTAAAGGTGATTCGGGTTACAAGAGGGCGGAACTCTTTCTACTATAAGGTGGGAAAGCACTTTTTTATAGAACATTTTTGAAGAAAAAAGAGGGAACTTAGTATATGGCTTTGACACCCTTTTTCTCATTGTCATAGACCGTTTTTCTCTTTTTTACTAACACTTTTCTCTTTTTCTTATAATTCATCTGTCATTACTTAGCATCATCCCACAATGGCATACAATCCAACATATGACGACACATTGACATGGCCACAGACTTTTCCTGTCAAGATAATATTACCTTGACAGTGGATTCCAAATCAGGCAGATGGCTTTTTCTTCAATGGATCATCACTGTCACTTAATGAGAAGCTTGATTTGTCTTGGGTTGTGGGTATCATAGTACGATGGTTTTCGTAGTGCAGATCATGGTCATTACGCAATGTTTTCTCAAGGTTCTAGGGTTGAATCTACCCATAACACTATACAGAGTACCCAGATAGAAAATCACTTAAATTCTATATCGATATATGTGTATTGTTTGCATTTAGATTATTACTATTTATTAACCATATAAGTTATATTTAACGGTTCTTACTACATATGTATTGTATATATTTATACTTTCATATCGAGTATTATTATAAGACCAGGTTGTCCAAAAATAAAGGCAAAATAATAATAATAATAAAAGCTAGACAGATTTTATATGCTATTAAATTTAAACTTAGTGAACTAGATTATATTTCCTATTTACCATCTTAGATTAACCAGTTAATGGTTGAATGATTCAAATGCTAGCTAAAAATTAAGATACTTAAAAACAATTATGATTCTAAAAATTTAAGTTAATATTTAAAGTTAGAAGTTAGAAAATAAAATTTAAATTTAATAAAGAGAATTAAATTATTACTATCTTCTTTTAACAACTGGAGGCCCATAAATTTTTTTTTTAATTCAGAATTGTTTTATGCTCAAAAAGAAACTTATGCATTGTGAAAAGAAAATATATTTTTTTCTGCACTATATGTATTAACAATATATCAATATATACAAATTGTTATATAGATTAAGCATGCCCTTTTCTTCTACAATTCTATTCATTATACACGATCTTCAGTCTATGTTTGTACTTAGAATTTTTTTGGTGACATTCATTTCTACATAAAGTATTTACCTTCCTATACAAACATCTTGCTATAAGACAATCATCTCTACAATTGCATCCCTTATTACTTGCAAGAGAAATGGATTAAAGTTTTGCAGCTTCAATGATACTGATAGTTGTATCAGTCGGTGAATTATTTAATTCAGGAAATTCTTTTGATTTAAGTAGCAAAACTTCGCCAGCTGAAAATGCATTCTTTAGAATACCAAATCAATAGATGAGATTATATATATTATTAGGAAGTACTGAAAATACTTTGCATAGAAGTGCATAGTGATTATCAGGTCTACAATCAATCTTAACAATTTGAATTTTCACCAGATCACCAACTTTATAGATATGTTTATAAATATTATATTTTGCATGCATTTGGTTTTCCATCTTTGAATAATAGTCCACAAGATTTTTATTCACTATTTGGCGATAAATATTATATTAATACTTTGGATTATTTGATATATCTTGAAGTGCCTGATAACAACATTTTTTACTAGAAATAAAGTTATATGAATTATTTGATTCATTTGTTTTCTATTTATATATAAATATATAGAATTAAATTACGTATATAATTAATAATTTTAAAATTAATTAATTTATAATGAAATCACATAACATTATTACTTGTTTCCTATTACCTGTCCCTGAACTCCTTGAATGTCTTGCTGAGAAATTGGTTTACTAAACATTTCAGTATTCTTATCATTTATTTGTTCCCTATCACTGTTGTCTCTAGTGAATTGCCGTGCTTGCTGGTTATCAAAAATTGTTCGTCTTAGCATTGAGTGATTGTTTTTTGAAGATCGAGAGGAACTTGATGAAGTTGTCATTAAAGATCTATGGTCTAGTGAAACATTATATTCTTCATCCTCAGGATCAGAAACCCTATTTTCTAATTAAATTATTTATAAATTGATGAGAAATAAATTTATAAAAAATTAAATTGCAACAATTTTCATATTCACATTATACTTTCTTTACCTTCATAGATATAATCATTAATTTTTATATGTGCAATGCCATTACTATGTTGTTGAAGTGTTATACTTTGATTATCATCATCATCTATATTATATTATCAACACCCTCAAAATTTTTCTTATTTTCAATAATACCTTCTGGTAAGTTTTCTTTCATATTAACATTATGTTGCTTCCATTCCTCGATCATGTTAAAGTAGCATAATGGGTGTTGTCCAAAAACTAACTCATACAGTGTATGATGAGTAGGTCTAGAGCAACAAATATTCATAGCATATATGACTATGGAAAGGCCAATGCTCCAATCCCTTCTATTGTTATCTTTCATCTATGTTGAAAGAGCATTTTTTAAAGTCTTGTTTGAACTTTTAACTGAACCTTGAGATTCTGGATAAAAAGGATGCCCATTAATAATATGAATTTCTTTTTATAAACAAATAAGTTCATAAATGATTTGTGCAGTGAACTCCCGACTGTTATCACTTTGTAAAATATAAGGAGAGCCAAAAACAGTAAAGACTGAAAATAAAAATGCAGCAATTTTTGATGCCTTCTTGGTGCGTAATGAACATGTCCACAAAAACCACATGAAGTGATTACAAAGATGTGCAATATATTTATACTCATTATCTGGATATTTTTCAAATGAAATTAAATTGACCTGTACATGTTGTAACAACTTTTTTGAAACAATAGTTTTTCCAATTATAGGTGCTGGAAAACTTCTTCTCATACAACATTGTGTACAACAAGAAACATATAGTTCCACAAATGATCTAGGAACATAAGCATACTGGTTACTAATTGCCTCATATGTCTTCTTTTATCCAGAATATTGCTATGTGTTGCTGTATATCTTTCCAAGAACATCATAAAGGTTTTGGAATAGGCAAATAATACAATCTAATTTTTTATTTGAATTTTTGACTTCTATAAGTTGAATAATAGGGTTTTGGAATGTTCCAAGATTGCATATGAAAAAACTTTTTTTTGCCCAAAACCTATCTTTTGCAGTTCCAATAGATGTGTCTTGGGGACTTCTTAAAATGCTAATAATTAAGTCATAATCTTCTTGAGTAATAATTGCTTTTTTTTGTTAATTAAGAGAGTGACTTGATAAGAATTCAGACACAAGTTGATTAAAAGCAACATCTGAAAGAAAGAAAAACTCTTTATCAGTGTCCATAAAGCTAGATGTATTGGGTTTATTGGTGTTATTTTTTTTTTTTTTTTTTTTTTTTTATTTATTTATTTTTTTAGTTGAGAGATTAAATGGTAAAAGCAATACAAGTATTGATTGTGTTATTGAAAAAAATTTTTTTCATCTTTGTTTTTTTTTATTACTAAGCATACTTTTTTTTATACTTTTAAATTAATTACATCATGTTATGTATCAAAGATTAAATATTGCAATTAACAAACAAATGTTTTATTTTAATTCCCGATTCTATACATTGTTAGGGGAAAATCTAGTTTAAGCTATTGTGCAATGATTGTTGAAAATGTGACTGAAAACATGACTAAAAGTGCCATAATTGTAAGCCTGGACCCTATATGTGACAATTATAGCTAACCTAAAAAGGAAAAAAGACTTAATAGAATCACCATATTGCACAATTAGGAAAAAAGTAAAGATAACTTATCTTCACAAGTTTGCAACTAAGCTTTGGTGCCAAAAGACATTTTAGGTTATGCAGCTGTAGCTATTGGCAGAATTTACGAAATAGAGTAGTTAATGAAAAGACAGAAGTATGAGTTAAAAAGTGAACTGGTGCAATTAACAGAAAAAAAAAACACTAAGATAGAAAATGAAAGAATGCTCCCAAGATACTTCCTTAATAATTTGTTATAAATAGTTCTCTGTTTTGACATTAAGTAGGAGAGGACCCTCATGACCCCCTGATCTCCTCCCACTCCTGTTATTAAAAAAAATTAATAAAACTATAAAACAGTTTATAAATTATATAAAGTGTCAAGAGACATAAATGTTCTTTAGAAAAGTCTCTATACTAACCCAGTAACTTGCTCGAAAGCTGCCTTAGCTATTGCCAAATCATATTCATCTTATCTTGCTTTCGGGTAACATTACATCCTCATCTTGCTTTTGGGTAATGTTACACAATGTCAGTGATTTTGAAGTGACAATTTATCACATTTGCTTTATCCTTAAATTCACCCTGTTACCTTGTAACAACATATAAATATCTATTCAGATATCCCGTATAGAAATTCTAAATCTGGCTGCCCCGATTCTGAATCAGGACAGCTTAATTCTGAATCAGGTGAATTTTCATCTGGGGTACAACATATATATTTATTCATTTCAAAGTACAAAGATTATGTATGATATGATTAATTTCTTGGTACTATACAGTAGAATATGATATTATATTACTATGAAAATATTATAATTATACAGTATACTGTATCTATAGTGTATACATTATAATGAACTATAAATTGTATATAATTGAGATATGAGTTTTTTATTTTTTTAAGTGATTGATAATATTTTTATAAAATGATATAGGATATAAAAATAATACAATTATTTATTAAATTATTATAGTGTTTCATTTCATAACATATACTTATTTATTAAATTATTATAATAATTCATTTTATATTTTGAAAATATATTTATTTTATTTTATTTTTTTTTTTTTGAAATGCCAAAGTAGAAACTTTATTAAGTAGTAGAAGAATTACATTAAAGATTTCTAAACTACATTTGTGCTACTTGTTTTAAGACACCCAATGTGACATTACACCTC